GTCCCTTGGTTTATTTATGATTTTTCGTTGTTCGATTAAAACGTATTATCTTTAATTAAGAATATATATCATAAATGTTAAATGGCCTGTCGGAATAAATTTACTTTTGATATCGATGCTCATTGGAATTTATAATTATTATCATCAGACGTTAAGTTCTTTCGACAATAAAAAACGGCAAAGTTTTGTAGTTTTCACAAATGATAGTTAATTCAATAGCCACCACGAGGCAGATTTCTCGAATTGCCTAAAGTTTAAAGTGCTTTTTTATTCTGTCACATTTATTGTCGCTTAAAATCCTCAACAAAAGTTTAATATAATAAAACGTTCCATAAAGCGATGGCGCAGGAAATAAACCAAAGCTTATTTATGATATTTAGGCGTTTATAAAAGAAAATTTATCTCATCTAAAAGCTATGTATGCATTCAATGCTTAATTTTATTCACTTCTTTTTTTTTTCAGAAAAAAAAAGGATGAGTATTCGAATTTTTCACTTTAGAACGAGATACGTATTTCACACTTTCAGTAGGGTCCATATTATGGAAAAGGGTCGCCCCGACTTTTTATTCACCAGATTTTTTTCATCGGGAGGCTAATAGGATAAATCTGCTGGATTTTTTTGAGCATTGAATTTGGACCTTAACTTTATTTTGTCAAATATATTATCAATGAAACATTCATTTACAAAATTTAGTTCTCTTTTTCATACATAGGTTGAAGAACAAGTTCCAATTCCAAACTATAATTCTCAGATAATTAAAGTTCATTTGACCTTTCCTCTAAACCATTGAGCAACAAATAATAATATAGACTCAATACTTGATAAATCGATTAATGCCCTAGGAAGTCCGGTTGGACAGATTAAAGATACATCAAAGTGATTTTCTTGTGTACCTTCGATCTCCAAGAGTTCGCGACAGGCGATTTACAAACAAGGATGTCCTCGCTCGAGGCGCTACGACAATTATTAGATTGAAGTTGAATTTTTCACTTGATTTTGAGATGCATCATTCGAAGTCGAGGTAAAAATTAAGAAGAAACAAACTGATGTACAACTTCTTTATATGGTTCGTCTTTGAAGAAATTTTCTTCTCTCTTTTTGCTATACCTTCAGCTAACACCTTAGCCATGTAAATATAGCGAAGAATCTTAGTCGTTTTTTTTTATATCAAGTATATCCTAATTATTTATTTCATTTCTTGATAATTTTTTCTTAGAAAATAAATAAAAATTCTTTTGAATTTTTATTGAAGCATTCTTCCAATTTTTATACATATACATATCGTAATCATTTTATCACTATATAAAAGCATTGCGCACTCAACTAAATTATCAAGAATTAAAAAAATTAAAGACCAAACCTGCTGTCCCGGTTTTTCTTCAGGACTCCATGAATTTCGCACAACGGACGCGTAGGATTGAGAATTTATGAAAATTTTAATAAATGTCGTTCATCTTTTTAAAATATGTTCAAGTTAGTAGTTACTGTAATAGTCCGCCATCGTAAAAGCCCGCGAGAAAACTAAATTACCTAGAGATATATTGTGTCGTGTCTCCAGAGCGGAATTCAAAATGGCTAATTAAAAAAGAAATGGTAGTTTTTTAATAGCAGGTTTCAGTTTCAAGAACAACGTGTGTGATCATTTAAACGTTAGTTAAATTAGAGTAGGTCTGGGAGTTTCAAATTATTCACGACGGTCCAAACGTTTTGTGTTTCATATCGGCTTTTCCAAACATTTTTGGGTATGGCTACGCTTGATTTACCTAATTGTTTTCGGATTTTCAGAACCTGAAATCCTCAAGTTGCAAATTGAAAATAAATTAGCATGTAACGTGTGACTAAACTTTTGCAGATGTTTCAAATTATTGCATTACTATAGCCTGAAAATATTTTAATTTCTAGAAGTCCCAACCACGTTGCCCACCATCTACGTAAGTTGATTTTAACACACTGGCACTGTCACCGTAAACCGAACGCACTGGCACACACCAATTAGATGCCGCCATAACTGATTTCTTTCAATATTTAATCGAAATAATTGAGGTATCTTTTTTTACCTTGGCTGCGCGCACAGGTGAGCGTCCAATAAGAAGCGAGTTTGTCAGGTGTTTGCGTCATATTCGTATTCAGGAGCAAATTCAGTAGTAATCTTACTTCTTTCTTTGTACCGCGTAATTCAACAAAGAGCGAACTAGTACTTTATTTCATTACTTCTGAACTCACCGCAGTGTTGTTTGAGGTTATGTAATGTTATAATTGACATATTACTTTGCACTCTCATTGTACGATGATGCCAGATGGAACATTTTTCAAACTAAAAGTGCAAGCGATGTTAACAGATTTAAGGCATTTTTTAAAAGGTATAATGTTCGATTTGTATGGTCTACATTTGTTCTGCAGCAATACAATCTGGCTACACTGCAACCCACTAGTTGCGCGCATCACTTTCTGACTTGTATTCATTACAAATAAGCTATCCTTTTCTATTTATGCGAGACAGGTCAATTGTTATAAGTTTATTCACAGGTAACAGAATAATCACGAGAGTGACATTCGATATTGATAATTGCTGAAATTTTGACATAGGAAGGAAGGCACTTCAACTTTTACGTCAAACCTTATCAAGACCAGATGGCCGCCAGAAATTTATTTTGAAAATCTAAAATAATCACTCCTTTGGACCATCCAGGTAAGAGCAGATTAGATTAGATTTGTTTGAATGGAGGGCGCAGAAGCTTCCTCTACCACTGCAGCCATGTCAGATCTAATGTATGTTTCAGTCTCCTATCTGTCCTTAGAGTGCGTTCTCTAGATCCGTCTTTTTTATTAGACTTCAGAGACATGATAATGGCCACTCGATATAGCTTCCCGGATTGGACTTTTCTCCTCCAAGCGTTACAAACCTTAACCTTCATAGCGCTTCGCAGTGGCACCACAATCTTGCGGCTGCAGCTGAGTAGGTCCGCTGTGAACTTGGGCGAGCAGGATTTGATGAACGCTTTGCCTGTCGCTGCCCTGGTGCTTGCTGCCACTAGCTCTACAACTCTCTATCCAGACTTGTGGATATCTCCACCGTTGATCTTGGACACGACGGTGTACTAGATGTGCTCTGCTTCAATTGGAGGACCTTCATTTCAGTCTTCCTTCTGCGGTATGGCAATCCGAACGAGCTTGCTGAAGATGAAAATAGGCGTTGTTTTACCTAAGGGCATCTCAAACAGGGAGCTGACCTCTAGATCCTCTATTTTCCAGCTCATTATCATTTTGTATGACCATTAATAATTATAGATTCATCTTTGGGTGAAGTCCCCAGCTTTTTCTACAAAGCCTTCTGCATTTCCCCAGGTAAATTGTAGCCTTCTGGACAACTTTGTTGAGGTGTGGACCCCAGGTCATCTTTTGGTCAAAAATGAATCCTAGAAATTTGGTACTTCTTTTGAGATGCGGATCTTCGCTCCAATAGGCTTAGGACATAGAAGCCCTCTTAGTGCTCTTTTCTTTGGGAATGGAACAATAAGGGTTTTCTGCGGATCAACCGACAAGCCTTCCTCCCTGCACCATCCAGGTTAATTAATCGTTTCTTTGTATGCCGAGAAGCTGAAAAACCGATAATATTTTCCTGATTGTCGATTGGCGATTGCTATGAGGTGATTGGCCTGAAGAGGTATATGTTCTTTGGCTATGGATCTGATATCATAAGTTGCTCAGTGAAGTTCACTGATGTTTTGGGCTTTCCAGCTTGTGCCTCCGAATTTGGGTTATTATGATATTTTGAAACAGTAAAAAGTAGATACATTCTTTAATCTGATTGCGAAACTATAATTATTGTGCCCAGTGTAGGAAGGTACATAAAAGTTTATTGGTTTCATGGGAGTAAGTTGATTAAAAAGTAACGGTGTTTTAATTATATATATATATAATCTTTATCCTAGCTGGTATAGAAAAGTGTGAATTTTTATTTTTTATATGTGGGTACTTGGTACTTGAGTAGTTTTTTAATTTAATGTTTTGTTGTAGAGTTCACTTTCATGAAATTTATAATCTAGCATAGATTTATTATTGCTTCTCACTACACCTAGCCCACGTATTTATCTGCTTCTCTATAATTAGTCATACCCACATACTTGGATGCACGATTTCACGGGTAAGTGTATGTGCATTGACCTACTAGTTTTTCCAATCTTTCAATAATCATTCGCAATTGATTACTATACTTTTTCCGAAAAACATCACGATATTTTTCTATTTTTTATGGTCTCATAATAATAGACACACTCTTTGAACAAACCCAAAATTTTTTTACGTATCCATATCCGCATCCGTAAACGCATCGGCTTACAGTGACCGCCTCGTTTTACGAAAACGATCCCTGCCATGGATGAAACGTTTTCTCAAAAAGTGTAGTGTTGATTTTAGGTCTGTTCTCACAAGAGTTTCCGACAGTTTGCAAACTGTCAGAAACAATCACTCAGCTAAGTTACCGATTATCTCGAAACAGCGGCATTGAAAACATGTAGGGGCAATGCTGTCAGTAAGCTTGCTGTAGGTTTTCTTTTATCTATAAATACTGTGTTTATGTTGCTGAAGATATTTTAGGTACCACTGTGATAAGGATCTCTCAATAGTGTCGAATGGCCGAGATACGTTTTCGGACAACGAAACCACCAGATCTATTCTGCGCATTCGCAGATCGATGCGGATACGGATACGTTTGAAATTTGGTACTTGCCTCAATTGTCTAATAATTGTAAATTGAGGCATATCTTCCAACGTGTAGGTAATTAAGAGATGCAAACAGAGACTTATGGCCGTATCCGCACCAACCATTTTAGGGAAGCCTTAACGATAAGTATTTCTTAAAATGAAATTTTTACATGGGAAAAATGTCAGTTTAAGGAACACTTATCGTTAAGGCTTTCCTAATTTAGTTGGTGGAAACGGGCATTATATAAATATTCATCTAGGCATGTAAAGAAAAAAATTAATTTAATATCCTACCTCCAAATCGATATCATGGGTGAAACAGTCTATAGTATTTTCGTCAATCCACTGGATCCCACAAATATCGGTTTGACAGCTGGTCGATACATATTTGGAACCTCCTCGGGATTGTACTGGCGAGCCTGCTGTCCTCCTCTTAACCTCAACTACGATCGGTTCTTGTGCTGTCATAAATGCTCTGACAGCATCTTCGTGAGGAAAGCTACTTACATCCGTACCGTTAACCTAAAATAAAAATAATTAAATTAGAAATACTCTATACTCATGCTACCGAGTTTCTATTGTTCAAGAAATATAGCCTTCTGTGAATTAGTTTAAATTTCATTGGTAATAAGTTCAATTACGAGGAATTGCGAAGTGCATTAAAAACAATACATTTTTGTTATAGCCATAATCCAATCAAAATACTTTTCTAATGACTTCTAGAGTATCTACTTAATTAAAATTTGAATTTAACCCAAACTTACAGCAAGATTTTTATTGATGAACTTCAAATAAAATATTACTAATTGCCAAACTTCATACCGAAGTAATATTATACAATTAGCAAAATTTTCCCTTACTTTCAAAAGTTCTTCAGTTGGTTATTGGAAAATTGGTACTTCACTCATTAATCAATGAGTTTCGAGTGAACAATAATAAACCATGTCAGTTATTTAATTAGGGTTCAAATTTTAGATTTGTTTTGTGGTTCTATAAAGAACGGGTTGTTGAAAAAGAATTTCATTTACGCCGATAATATAAATACCACTTAAGCTAAAGCATTATTTTCGAATTTTATTGAAAAAATATAATTCACAATACCAAGACAAAGGAAACGATAAATCTTTTTATTCAATAAAAATGATAGGTATTGAATAGCTTTAACACACAAAACATTTCACCAATTCCATTTGAAAAGGACTATGAAAAGATATTAGGTGTATAAATTGCCGAAACTTCATCTAAATTTTAAAATTAGAGTGAAGTAGTTGCCAGAACTTATGCAACTAAGTTAAATAAGATGTTAAAAAGGGTCCAGCAAAAATACGCGTTATGAATTTCAAATTTTTCTAAACTTCGAAGAAACTGTATGAGGTGTTTGGTGGCTGGGACAAATTTGGTTTTCTATGGGGGATAATTTTGGGCTGAAAGTTGGAAAGTTTTAGAAATAAAACTAAAAGATGTTCTGAAATTACCTAAAGTTTTAAAGCGGTCTGGCAGACTTGCAATTGGCCGGCGGTGTCAGATTTTGCCACGAGGATGTTTTTTATTTTATTTTTCTAAACAGTAGGTACACTCTATAGACCATACCTTGAAATGGTACATAAAATTAAAAATAAAAATAATTGTCCATTTTCTAAACCCTGTTACCAAATGTTAGTCTAACAGAACTCAGAATCTGAATGATGTCTACTATAATCTATAAGCCTTTCCTTGCTTATATTTGTATTTTTTTTTAAATTGTAAATAGCGTGTTGCGAACTGCAATCAACTAACGTGACAAAATAAGTAATTCAACATTAACGAACCAAAAAGTTTCGCAAGTTATCGCAATTTGAATACCAAGTTGCGACGCCATCCCTAAAGGCACTTCCAGTTCAGTTCCAGAGCAGAAGTATTACGGCCTTCTGAGAATTTATTAATCTATTTTTGACACGCATCAGGGCAAAAGTTTCCGTATTTTAAATAGGTACCCACATACACCTACTAACTGAATTTTGTATTATTAACTGGATTTACATTCAGTGAAATTCAATTAAGACTCATCGTTATGTTATAGTAAACTAAGACTATAATAAACAGTTTATTAAACAGGGAAGGAATTGGGAAATAACTATAAAGAAACAAATACACTGTAGAATTTTTCTAAGGTAAAGTTTTTTAAAAACAAATCATTTGGTTGCCAATGTTTCAGAACATAAACTCAAAGTTGAGTAGGTATCTTTCGACATTTTGGGAATATGAAACTGAAATCTGATCAGATGACATGCATCAGACCAAACTGGACTGGGAGGATTTATTAATAATATTTACGACTTTGCGTATAAACATAAACATTGACTGACAAGAAAATGCAGAAATTTCCTAGGAAGATCCAAAATCTCAGTCGGAAGAATAATTAGGTAGTTTTATGTTTGAAGTATTTATACCTAATAGGTATTTGTATTGGTTCAGTGCATTATCCCTTATAACTCTGACTGGAAAGTACCTATCAAATATCTCTACAGGAAAATTATCAATTTTCTGAAATACAACTCTTTATAAATACAAAAAAGTTAATTACTGAACGTTTCGAAATTTTAAATAAGTCATTACCGCCGTTTTAACAATGGCCCATACATCACTTTCCTCTTCTCAAAAAGGGCGTCCCCAAAACAAAACACCTGCGTGCACAAAGTTGTATTCTCAATTTCCATAAATATTCTGGCTTCCATGGAACTCTTGTTCTTTCCTGAAATTGCGAGGGAACGTGTCCCAACTTCCGCCGTGCAACATCCACGCCCTACTTTTCCATTAATTAATTCTGTCGGTGGACTAAGTAGATTCTTAATGCTGTACTTTGGGAGAATGCCCCAAAGAATAAATAAGGGTGCTTAAAGTGTATCATAGTCCAATGTATTCCCATCGCATTAGGTAGTGAATTTATTGGCGAATTTCTAGAGCCAATATTTGCAAATTATATTGACTAATTTCGCGCAACTGAAAATTGAGCTTAATACAGGCGCCATTAAAAAAAAAAATATGTATTTGCATACGATGTGGATTTGTTGTTTCGCGTTTCGTTAAGTTTTCACGATCTGAATCTGTAGGTTTGAGAGGGAGGTATACAACAGTACTTAGGCCACAGTGGGTCCATTTTGCGCCTCCACAAGAGGAGAGGTCATCCTTAGCTCGTCATCCAGCCTAGAGATTTAACGTAGGCGATGACGTCGCCGAGGACGGTGCCTCTGATCTCTTCTAGGGATGGGTATTGTTGGCCTAATCTGGCTCTGCGTATTGGCGAAAGATTCGTGCAGTCACAAAGAATGTGCTCCATTGTCTCGTTTTCTTGATTACAAGCGCTGCACCAGGGTGTGGTGCTAAGATGCAACTTAAACGGATGTTTGTTTAGCTGACAGTGGCCAATCAAGATGCCCGTTATTAGAAGTAGCTTTTTCCTGGTCAGCGACAGTTTCTGGCTCGCTGCAGCTTTATCTGAGTATAGCTTAGTAGTTCCTTGGATAAGTTGCAGCCAATCGTATCGTCCCAGCGGTTTTCGAAAAGAGTGTGGGAGCGTTCTTTGATCATGTCCTTGGCCGCCGACATGGTCAACCCCACAAAGGGCTTCGGGCCAGAAGGCTGTAGCCTGGTAGCCCTCCTATCCAGAGTGTCGGCAGCCGATTGACTTTGCTATGATCATGTCCTTTGATCCAGCTGTCTTCCACCGTGTTTTTTTATCGGCGCCTCTATGAGGATACGGTGGCAATGTTCTACTAGTTCTGACGTGAGCCGTGGTTTAAATGCAGCCAGTACTGCTTGTCTGCAGTCCGTGTGGATGTGCACGATCTTTTCAGTGATATTGTTGCTGACTATCTGTTCTGCAGAGACGGTTATGCCAGTAATTTCCGTTTCGAGGATATTTGGCATGGAGCCGAGGGCTCAAGTTAGGTTCAGTTTGAGGGCTTTGGAGTATACTTCGCATCCCGAGCCTGTTTCAGTTCTGGATCTGTCGATGCAGATGTTACTTACCCCTGCCACTGTGTACGTGTTGATTGCGTATTGCCCTTTGAAGACGAAATATGGCGTTGCAGAGTCAGCAGCCAACAGTGGAATCGAGTTGATTGCCTCGCTCCATATGCGGGCTCTCTGCAGACCGACTCCTGCACTTGGTTCCATACCAACAGTGCCGAAGCGCATCATTGTGGTTAAAGCGACTCCCTTGACATAAATATTCAGAGGCGTCAAACAGTTGCTGTGGTTTCCATTGCACCAGTCATGTTGAGGCATTCTTTGAACGTGGTCTAGTTTTTGGCTAATAGTGGTCTGTTCGGCTTTATGACCCCAGACAATAGCTCCATAGGTAAGCATAGTGTCAACTAGCTACTTAGGAAAGGAGGGCCCAGTATTCAACCTTATTAATTTAATTGCCGATCCGGTCGGATGTTTATCGCAATTCAGCAATGAAAGCATATAAATAGTTGGCCACGCCGAGCAACAGACAGACTTGAACCAGTGTTAGTACCGTCACCCTGGGAACACCCCTCTGCAATCAAGTCTCCCCAGTGTAAGTACCACCACCCTGGGGACACCCCTCCGGGAAACTGCATCGTCATCTAGTGCCAGTACCGCCACCCTGAGAAAGCCCCTCTAGATGAGGATCAGTTAAACATCGATTAGCATTCAACGTAACATTAGTCACATTCAACCGACATTCTTAAGTAGCGTCAAACGGGTGGCCCTATTCTGGAGGATTTATGTCATGACTTCATAGCAAATGTACATATTTTTATAATAACCTGAGCGAGTTTCTCTCTATCGATCCACCGTACACCCCTGTCACAGAAAGGTTGTGACAATAGGTCTGATGATGGCTGTATCCACATAACTACCTTCGGGGAGAACCCCTAGATTTACACAATTCATAGGCGATATATGCTTTTTGTCTTCTCTTAGTGAGATGTCCAAGAAAGTTTGCAATCGAGTATCACCCCCAGATATTTGACCTCAACAGCAAAGCTTAGTTCGGTATTCAAGAGTCGGGTGATGGCGGAAGTACCAGTCTCCTCTTTCTTGTGAATAGGACCATTTCAGTCTTTTTGGGGTAGATGGACAGAGTGTATTCCGTGCACCATTTTTCTATAACTCGAAGAGCATCTTGCATGCGTTCGCAGAGCGAGTTTTCGAATTTACCTCTTTGCAAGATGGACTACGTAATCTGCGTCAGCTTTTGGACATATACATATATTATATTTTTTCCACTTCTAACGGTTCGAAATCCTAATAATTGTTTTTTTTTTCGGAATTATTGCATATAGACATAGGTATAATAATGATTGAATCTTTCTTTTTTTATCTACCTACCTAATAACATAATTATTATTCAATCAACTATTTTATCATCGAAAATCTCTGGACCGTAAGTATTTATTATAGTATAGCAGATAATATAGATTAATTCTGAAAAGTTATATTAATTTATGTGAAATCTCCGGCAGCAGTTCGCACAAATTTTAATCCTGTTTATGGCTTATTCTGAGCAATTGACGAACATATTAGTTAGTATC